GTGCCTAGGTGGCTCAGTGGGTTAAAGCCTCTGCCTTTGGCTCAGGTCATGATCTCAGGGTCCTGGGATGGAGCCCCGCATTGGGCTCTCTGCTTGGCAAGGAGCCTGCTTCCCTCTCTCTCTCTCTCTCCCTGCCTCTCTGCCTGCTTGTGATCTTTCTATGTCAAATAAATAAAATCTTTAAAAAAACAAAAACAAACATAAAGATACTTAGCACTGGGGCACCTGGGTGGCTCAGTGGGTTAAGCCTCTGCCTTTGGCTCGGGTCGTGATCTCAGGGTCCTGGGATCGAGCCCCGCATCGGGCTCTCTGCTCAGTGGGGAGCCTGCTTCTCCCCCTTCCCCTGCTCATGCTTGTGTTCCCTCTCTCTCTGTCAAATACCTAAATTAAAAAATTTTTTAAAAATAAAATAAATCAACACACGCCGTCGATCTAAAAAATTAAACAGTACAAAGTGATCTAGAGAGAAAAGGAATCTCCTCTCCTTCTCACCCTTTCTCCAAACCTCTCAGTTTCCCTCCCCAGCGGCAACCCCCGTTTCCAGGTTTCTACCCGTTTGTGAGTAATACATATTCTACGCACACGCGCGGTCCCCTTGTCTATTTTTACACAAACCAGCGCCTTCAGTAGGATCTATTCTGCACTTTGCACTTTAGGTATCTCGCAGGTCGGCTCACAGAGACTCCCCGGGTTCTTTGTAACGTCGGCAGAACTCTCTCTTGCCTTCACCACCACCATCTACCTAACCAGTCCCCTAACGGGGGATGTTTTGGTCCTTTCCAATCCTTTACTACCATGAGCAATGCTGTAACCAATATCTTCATGCGTGTCTGTTTGCACGCGCCTCTCTGCCGTATAAATCGTTGCTGTAGGTCACACGGCACCTGCATTTCTTATTTTGATCAAGAGTGCCAAACTGCCCTGACGACGCTTGTACCGATTCATTCCGCCTCTAGCAGCACCTGAGTGAGCACAAGTGCGTTCTGGAAAACGCACACCTGGTCATGTCGCTCCTGACGTCAAGCACGCTTTCCCACCCCCGGCTGCATGATTAAATCCTGGCGGGGAGCTTTCAAACCATCCTATAAGTACGGCCCTGAACACTGACGATCAGATTTCACTGACCTGGATGTGAGTCAGTGGCCGGAGTTTAAGACGACCCCATCTTAATCCCCAGGAACCTGCAGATATGTGACTGACGTGGCACAAGGAACTTTAGCACAAGCGATTAAGTTAAGGACCTTAAAATCCAGAGATGATCCTGGATTAGCCAGTGGGCTCAATGTAATCACAAGGGTCCCTATCAGAGGGAGGTGGGAGGGTCAGAGAGGGAGACTTGAGGACAGAAGCAGAGGTCTGAGTGAGGCGACCACCAGCCGAGGAATGTGGGCAGCCCCTGGGGCTGGAGATGGATTCTCCCCCATTGCCCCCGTCCCCAGCAGGAATACGGTTCTGACAAGACATTGATTTTAGCCCCTGAAGACCCATATTGGACTTCTGGCCTTCAGAACTTCAAGATGATACATTCATGTTATTTTAAGCCACAGTGCTTCTCTTTTCCGTTACAGCAGCCCTGGGAGACTCACTCACACGGGGGCATGGTGGGCCATCCCTTATCAGAAAAAAATTTGGCAGGTCGCAGTCCTTCAGAAGAGAGAGAGGATGGGCTGCCAGAGGCTGTCCTGTATCCAAAAGCTGGAGGATGTTGGAAAGGCCGAGGCCAGCCTACCTTCCCTATTCCACAGAAGGGAGGAACAAGGCGAGGAGAAGGCAGTGGCATTAAGTTAGAAGGTGATTAGAAATTGACCAAGCCACAGGGAAGGACTCCACAAGTGCTCTGGAAGCAGGGGCTGGTGGGCTTGGATATCAGGCTAAAGTCAAAGGTCCTCTAGCCCCAGCAAAGTGAAAGTCCTGAGAGACGGCACTGGGGCTGTGGAAGGAGCACTGGACTGTGAGTCCTAGCTGAGCCTGGCTATGCCATGGACTGGCTATGAGAGCTCAGACATTATCCCCTTGTCCTCCCTAGGAGACTTCAGGGGCTTGTACTGAATCAATTCATCTCCATTTTTCTTTAAAAACAAACAAACAAACAAAAAAACCTATTTAACATCAGTTTTTTTCCAACTCCTGTCTTCAAACAAAATCTTTCTTGTGTGACATGGACATAAGTTAATATTCATAATAACAGCAAGAGCTTAAATGAGATTTCCTTCATGCTAGGCACTCTTGTGAAAATCATAAGTGAAAATTCGTTTGTTCAGTTCTCACAACAAATCAGTGGGGGGGGCTACCATTTTCATTTCAAAGATGAGGAAACTGAAGCACAGAGAGGTTAAGAAACTTACTCAAGTTCACCCAGGAGGGAAGTGTTAAGTTCTTGATTTGGAGGCGCCTGGGTGCCTCAGTCAGTTAAGCATCCGACTCTTGATTTTGGCTCAGGTCATGATCTCAGGGTTGTGTGATCGAGCCCCGTGTCTGATGATGAATTGGGCATGGAGCCTGCTTAAGATTCTCTCGCTCCCTCTCCTCCCTCTCTCTCTCTTTCAAAATAATAATAATAATAATAATAATAATAATAAGTACAATTAAAAGATTCTTGATTGGAACCCACACACTCCAGACGCAAAGAGAGCTGAGAGGCTGGAGGCAATAAGCCAGAGGTTAAGGTGAGATCAATTGAGAGAGGAGGGGAAAAAACCAGCATGAACTGGAAAGATCATTTTGGAGTCTGATTTATGAGAAGTATGGGGGCAGCCCTGGAGTCCGAGAGAATTGGGGAGTCAGGGGAAGGGCATAGAGCGTGTCTATCACTAACAGGTGCCCGGGAGCCTCTCTGAGTGGACAGAGTGTGAAGACTGGGCCATGGGGGGCCCAGGGATTTTTGGAATCACACTTAGACACACTCACTATGGGAAACCACTCAGAAAGAAGCGGCCACATTGAAGAAGAGAGTCTTTCCCCTGTGTCCTACCCTTTGTCACTCTCACTCCAGGCCCCGTAGTCATTGCTACAGAACGCCTGGGTTTCACACAATGCAATGTGAAAGCTACTACCCTCAACCACCTGTCTTTCTCTGGCCCCTCTGCTCCTGCCTGGCTTTATCCCCGTGGCCCAGGCCTCGGAGAGCCCACTGAGGCCACCAGCTGCTGCCACCCCCCAGGTAGCTGTGAAAGGCCCACGCTTGGACCATCTCCACTCCCAAACCCTGGCATCAGAGCTCAAAGCCTCTGCCATGCGCAGATTCCAACTAGCAAGGTGACCTTGAGGAAACCTCTGGCCTGGACCTCCGGGCCTCAGCTGCAAAACGGAATGGATGATAACTCACCTTCAGAAGCCAAGAGACCAGGCCCCAGAACCTCTTAAGAAAATTAAGTAGAGCCGAGGTACATCGAGCACCTACAGGGGAAGACGGCTCTGCGCCAACACGCCTATGACTGTCCTCATCTGACCAGTGAGAAAACTGAGGCCCAGAGAGGTGAAGGGACTGACTGAGGACACACAGCAAGGTGGTGCCGAGCCGAGGCTAGGACCCAGGTCTCGAAACGGTGCCTCTTCCTCTTCACCAGCCGGGAAGCCGGACCCACAACAGGATCTCTCTGAACCCTTCTCATTCCCATACATTTTCCAAACAAGGAAACTGAGGCTCAAAGGCACCAAGGGACCTGCCCAAGGTCACAGAGCCACTCACATGGGAGCAGGGGATGCGGGGGTGTGTGCCTCCACACTCACCCCTCCCCTCCTCCTCCGGAGCTCCCACCCAGCCCACTTGGCTGCTGGGCTTCTCGGACCGAGCCTATCCCCGGGCTGGTGAGAAGCAGGAGAGTTCCTCTGGCAGCCTTTCCCTGAGCACCTTCCCATCATCAGCACCCCCCACCCGGGGAGCTTCCAGGGTGCGGGGACAGGTAGCTGCAGACGTCCCGGTCCCAACTTGCCCTCTGCTCCCTCCGAGGGAGGCTCCTCCTTGGAGAGGAGGGAAGGACGCTCTCCTCGCCTCCCAGGCAGTTGGCAGAGCCGGGCGGCTGCTGCTGCTCCCCGCAGCCTGGTGATGGAGAGATTATTTCTGAGCCATGCCCATTCCCCCCCACCCCCGCCCCCGCCTCTCTTGCAGGACCACGCCGGCTGTCCCTGTGGGGCTCTGAGCGCAGAGCCCAGCCGGCTGGCTCCCTCCCAACACGAACCCCGCGGACTCTCACCTCTCCCGGGGAGAAGGGGCTTTCGGGTCCTTGTAAAAACCCCAGCCCGCTGCCCCAGGGCTGTTCCGCAGCTGCTGGAGAGAGATGCGGAATGAATGTACTTTCAGGAAGAGGCAAGGGAAGAGAGGTTGGAAACTAACTCTGCCAGAAACTGCCGTGTTTGGAATTTTTCTTTTCTTCTGCTGCATCTCACCGCGAGCCCATCTCTCCCCTGGCCATTGAGACGTGGGCTCCCCCGGCCTGGCAGAGAAACAGCTGGAAAAGGGCTCCCTGAGACAGGAGGGTGAGTCAAACTTTGGGAGGAAGAAGTTCTAGTTTGCTGCAGGGCTGGGGGCTTGCGGGCTGCTTTGAACGAGTACATTTCCTGAGCTCTGGACAGAGCTTTGAGTGTCGGCCGTTGGAGGGGGGCAGTGGATCGCAAAGTTGGGTTTGTGCAGTGAATGCAGACAGGGCAGAAGGATTTGCAGGGGCAGGGGGCGGGAGAAGCGGTGTTCTAGAAGGAGCCCCGGGCTGGGAGACAGAGTCCTGGGTTGGACTCAGATTTGCCGTGTGACCTTGGACGAATCACTTCAGCTCCCTGGGTCTGGGGTTTTCTCTGGGAAGATGAGAACACTCAGGAGGGTCTCCCCAGATTTCAGAAGAGTGTGTGGTCTGCAGGCGGTTCCTATTCCTCTGGCTATACGTTGTAAAGGAAGGAATGCATATGCGGAGTAACAGAACGCTGTGTGGTGAGCAAGTGTGAAACGCATGGGCTGTGATTCAACTCCTCGCTGCCTGCCGGGATCCAGAGGGCTTGGAATTGAGAAGAACTTTGATTTCCATTCAGCGGCCGAGTTCCTCCCTGGATCGGAGCGCCGATCGGCATGTAAGGTTATAGATGCCTTGGAAACAGCTCTGGCTGGAATGAAGAGTGTAGGAAGTGGTTACAGGGTGACGAGGTTGCAGGGTGCCCAGGAGGACAAGGCTGGGGAGATGGTTTTTTAAATGCATGGGCTCAATCTAAACCTCGTATCCACAGTCAAGGGCCTCAAATAGTTCTGAAGTGGAGAGAGCATTAGAGGCCCCTTCACGGTGCAGATAGCAAGACCGAGGCCCAGAGAGGGGCAGTCACTGGCTCGAGGTTACACAATAAGGATGGCTGAGGCAAATGCCCCGGAACACGGAGGAGGGCCAAGTCCTCCAAAGGAGGAAGGAAATACAATCTCTGTGGTGGGGCGCCTGGGTGGCTCAGTGGGTTAAGCCTCTGCCTTCGGCTCAGGTCATGATCTCAGGGTCCTGGGATCGAGCCCCACATCGGGCTCTCTGCTCAGCGAGGAGCCTGCTTCCCCCTCTCTCTCTGCCTCTGCCTCTCTGCCTACTTTTGATCTCTCTCTGTCAAATAAATAAAGTCTTTTAAAAAGGGAGAAAAAAAAAAGGATCACTGTGGAGCTGCTCCTGAGAGGCAGAGCTGTGCCAAACACCGTCACATTCTTTGTTACTTAACCTCTCTGGGCCTCCGTTTCCTCATCTGTGAAATGGGGATGCTACTGTTTCCCTTGTGGAGGTGCTGGGGTGAGTTAGTATACAGGAAGCATGTGGATCGGTGCCTGGCACCTCAGAAGCATCTAGAAGTGTTCCAAATAAACACTTCATGTGTATTACCACACGTAACCCTCCCCGTGCCCAGTGAGGTGGGTCGTCAGACTATCCCAGCCCCTGTACGGATGAGGCAAAGGGCTTAGAGGGGCTGAGTAGCCCACCTGTGCCCACCGTCCCTAAGGGATCAGAACCCGAGAGACTCTGCCACGGATAAGCTCTCTTTTACCAACTGTACCTTCTAAGAGTGGTACAAGTCTTGTCCTTGGCATGAATGAAGCTGAGATCAGAGAGGTTAAGCCACAGGCCCAAGACCACAGAGCCTGGGAGTGGCACAGCTCTGACCAGGGAAGGGATGCTGTCATCTCCTTCCGGTCACAGGTAGACACCGGGCGCCTAATGGGTGCTCAGGAAGTCTGAGTTGGGTGGAAGATGGGAAAAAGGAAAGATGCATTAGCAGCGTGCTGTCAAGGACCCAGGCCGAGGCTGATTTCTCCCCGTTGTCTTGCCTCCCTCCCTCCCCGGGGTGCAGGCCATCTCCGGCGATGCCCACCCCCTTCCGAGCCAGGGGCCTGCCTCCCGGACACCGGCGCCGGGGCTCCTGCAGCCCCCTGAGCCAGCTCCTGCCCGGCCGCCTACCGCGGCCCGCCGCCAAGGGGCTGTATTACCGGAGGGCTCGCAGGGTGGGCGCCCTGGACGCGTCCCCCGCCGCCGACCTGAAGAAGGAGATCCTGGTCAACGTCGGGGGCAGGCGGTACGTGCTCCCCTGGAGCACCCTGGACGAGTTCCCGCTGAGCCGCCTGAGCAGGCTCCGGCTGTGCCGCAGCTACGAGGAGATCGCGCAGCTCTGCGACGACTACGACGAGGACAACCAGGAGTTCTTCTTCGACCGCAGCCCCAGCGCCTTCGGCATGATCGTGAGCTGCCTGGCGGCCGGCAGGCTGGCGCTGCTGCGGGAGACGTGCGTGCTGTCCTTCCGGGAGGAGCTGGCCTACTGGGGCATCGAGGAGGCGCGCCTGGAGAAGTGCTGCCTGCGCGAGCTGCTGCGCAGGCTGGAGGAGCTGGCCGAGCTAGGGCAGCAGGAGACGCTGCACCTGCGGCAGGAGGCGCGGCGCCCCGCGGGGGACCCCTCGCGCTGGGGGGTCTTCATGCACTGGCTGCGCGAGACGGTGGAAAACCCGCGCTCGGGGCTCCCGGGCAAGGTCTTCGCTTGTCTGTCCATCCTCTTCGTGGCCACCACCGCGGTCAGCCTGTGCGTCAGCACCATGCCCGAGCTGAGAGCGGAGGAGGACAAGGTGAGTGGCCCCTGACCGCGCCCCCCACGCCCACCCCGGCCCCCGACACCTAGGGCCCGCGAAAACGTCTAAGTATCTTCTAAAACAACAGAGAAAGAGATGGTTGTCTAGCGAGCACTGGATGCATTTTTAGGTCGGTGCAGTTGTGAACATTTTTAATTTTAATTTTTGTGTGTGTGGGGGTTGGGGGGTAGGCCTTGGGGCCCACAAAGGTCATGAAGTGGCTCTGCCTCTAGTGGACCTGGTATTCACAGAACTACCCCTGCCTGCTGTTGTGGGCCGCTCCCAGCTCTGTGCCCGCAGGCAAACTGCTTCACCTCTCTGAACCTGTTTCTTCTTCGATAAAATGGGTAACATCGGGGTGAGGGTTCACACACGGGGTGCACTCATTTTGTGTTTATTGAGCAGCTGCTCTGTGCCATGCCCTGTTCCTGGCCCGAATCCCTGCCTTCTTGAGCCAACCTTCTCATGGGCATCCCGGCTCCATGTTCAGGTGGAGAAACCGAGGCAGGGGGACTTCAGCTTGGAGTTAGCAAAAATACAGACGAGGGCCAAGATTCCTGCTGGTTGCTTGGTTCCTGAGCCCCTCAGTCTCACTGCATGGGGAACTCAGAGAAGAGTTAACTTCTAAGTGACTGCCCCAGGAGGCAACGGCAGAAAGGTGTTCTTGCCCACTTGTGCATTCTTTTTCCAGGAAGTTGTGGGAGACCCCCAGGGGCCAGGAAGTCTGAGAAATGAGATAAGAACTTAATATTTCATTGGGACGTTTACTGGAGAGTTTTGAACTGAGAACTGGATTTGTTTCCTGATTGAAACTGTTGCTCCTGTCCTGCTCTACATTCCTCCATAGCTCCCCATTACCCTAATTATGGAATTCACGATGTGGCAGACTGAGGGAGCTGATAAAGAGAACACATATATAAGATAATGAATCCTTCATATGGCCCATAATCGTTGTCAGCCCACAGAAGTTCCCTTCCCTTAAAGGTATATCCCAGGGCAATATGGTAGGATCAGAGAACTTTCCAGAAAGAAAGGACTTAAAGAAACTACCCCTTACATAGGGTAGGCTCTCAATAAATATTTAGTAAATAAAATGTATCTCATGCAACCTATAAATGTTTTGTCCTGAAGCAAACCCAGCAAAACCTTTCCACTGTCAAATAGCTTTTTTCCCCCAAGGGGGAGGACTGTAGCTCCAAACGGAGACATTGTTTTATCCTTTAGCACCGAAGCATGTGATTTAAGAGTCTTGTTCGCAGAAATATTTACACTTGGACACTACAGTAAAAAATTAGGACCAAATAAATAGCTTCCGTCCCCCGCCCCCAGGAGGATGCCCTTGATCTGAGCTGCTGAAAAAGGACCCCTCAATTTCCATAAACCTGTACCTCAGGGATTTCCTGGAAGCCAGGATTTAGACTGTGTGGAGGGACAAGGTCTTCTCAAAGCCTAATGCTTTGCAGATTACCCAAGGTCTAAACCCAGGCTTGGTTGGTGGGGAACTCAGGAGATCAAATCAGAGGTCACCAGGAGGCCAGCAGGACCAGCAGCCCCAAGTTTGAGCCCAGGAGTTGGGCTGCCGTTTGCTCCTGGGATAAAAGGGCTGATGCCCACCCCCAGGATACATCTCTCTGTTTTCACCTTGTGGAAACCACCTTCGTGTGAGCTTGCTACCTGGAGAGAGGCTGCGAGGTACTAACCTCTAAAAAATTGTGTTTCCCTGTTTAAATGGTAATTTAGAGAAGCAGGAGGCTGGGGAGGCAGTCTTTGTTTTTTTCAAAACTGTGCCTTCCATTTACATAAAAAGACAATGTTCTCTCCCGCACCGAGCGTGTCCGATAACTCGTATTTGCCCTTAGGGATGTTCAGCTGGCCAGATGCTTCTGGGGGCAGGCCCAGCCAGGAGACCTGGGGGCCACGTCGGCCTGGAGGGCCCAGCAGCATCTGCTCAGATGAATTAATGCCGCGTGGGTGGACAGACATGCCAGGGCTGGGACCCACAGACGTCCTCTGTCAGACACAGTGCCGTGCTGGGTGGAAGAGGCAGCTTTCCTTTGTTTTTTTTCTCCTACCTTCTTCCAGCGACCTCCCACGCAGTAAACTTGGCACTTGGGGAGAAGGGTCTGCCCTGGAGGTTGTTAAAGTAAAACGGAGGAGTGGGGAGGTGGTGTGGACAAGAAGGACCGTGCCAAATGCTTAAGCACCTGGCAGGTGCTTCCAGCCTTTTCTGGTTTCCTCAGAAGAGCTTGTCCCCCAAGGGAAGAAAGAACTGATGCTTATTACGTGCCCTTCACGAGGCTGGCATTTGACCGATGGACTTAGTCCTTGCAACAGCTTGGGAAATGGGTACTACTACTGCCCCCATTTTACAGGTGAGGAAACAGAGGCTCGGCCAAGTTTTATCCCTTTACAAAGCTCACTGTTAGTTATGCAGTAGACCCCGGATTTGAGCATATACCTCATACCAGTTGGTTCTAAAACCTGACTCCTTAGGACAGCACCAGCTTTCAGTGCTGGGCTTTTTGGGGGACCGGCTTCCGTCACTCGGCGTGGTGTGTGCAGGCTCCGTGCTTCTTAGGGCCCAGTAATAGTCCCCGGTCTCTACATCCATTATGTTTATCCCATCTTGCGGGGCGGTGTGCTGCCGTTTCCGTGTTTTCCTCTGCCTGCGTCCTCTGTCATGACCCTCACCCCTGCCATTCGTTCCCAGCACCTTTCCCACGTGGCCCCAGCCTGGCTGGACAGCTCTGCCAGTCAGGGCACTCCCCTCTCTCTGGGGGAGGCCGAAGGTCACTGCCGCTTGAATTGAACACCTGCTCTGTCTTTCTTGACCTTTCCCTCCGTCTCTGCTCCCCCCCAGGACCTCAAAATCTCTAGCTCCCTAGGGCAGAGTTCAAATCCCAGCACCGCCTCTCCGTGGCTCCGCCCTCCGACGAGCCCTTCTCTTGCTCTGGGCTTTCGTTTCCTCACCTTACTCCGAAGCTGGTGCTGAGGATCGAAAATTCCCATCCAGCGTGCTCCTGCCAACACGAAGCCATCACCGGCCGTGTTCACACACCCTTAGGGCCTCCGCTCATGCCCCTCCAACCCCTCCACCTGCTCGTCCTGCTTTGCTCATCAGTCTCTCCCGGCTCCGTGGAACCCAGATGGCAGCGGCAGGGCCAGCAGCCAGTGGCTCAGGTGTCGTCTCTGTTTCGTTCTTCATTCATTCCTCCTGCGTTCAGCAGACTTTTCCCAAGGGCCTCCTCTGCGCCAGAGACCCCGAGGGGGCCAGGACAGGCAGAAACCACTCTCCACCCGCCGGCTCAGCCTTCACTCCTCCTTCCTCCACTTTAGATTCTAGTCCTGCCCCAGAGGTTTGCTGGGGCCGATTGGGGACCTCACTGTGGGAGATGCACACTGATTACAGCTGCGCAAAGAGTTTTCCCTCCTGTCTGTCTGTGGTTTCAGCATCTTGCGAAGGCCCCGGGGAAGGGAGGCACAGGCAGATTTTTTAAAGATCAGGTGGAACTAGTGGGTCCCTCGCTGGAGTGTTGCCCTCCTTGTATGGGTACGGCATGCCACCCTCGGGGGGTACAGCTTCAGGAAAAGCCTCACACTAGAGCCAGCCTGTCCTCCCCTACCCTTTTCTTGGATCTTGAATCAGCTCCATAAAGAGCTGTCAGGCTCCCGGGAGCTTCCCTGTGTTCGGTGACATTTGATGATTGTTCTAGGGAATTCTTCTTAACCTGGTTTTTCGGTTTGGGGCTTTTTTCCTCCTTCCAGCTTAGACTCCCTATATGCGGGCCAGCAGGAAGTAGTCCCCGTCTCCTGGACAGGACCCACTTTTCTTGACTCACACGGTAGTTCTCCTGTTCCTGCTTCGTCATGCTTCCCTGTCTCCGTGCCCAACCCCTCCTGCCTACACTTCCAGAGCCTCTGTGTCCCAGGGCTGGGGAGCGGGGCGGCTGGGAGGGAGAGGATGGAGAGGGCCAGGAAGGGGCAGGACGGAGGGGAGAGAGGGCAGAGACGACCGGCTCCTGGGGAAAAGGAGAAGCCGGGAAGAGGAATGAGTCAGCAGGGCCAGGAGGCAGCCTGGACCAGAGGCCACTTGGATTGAACACCTGCTCTGTCTCTCTTGACCTCTCCCTCCCTCTCTGGGCATGAATTCACAGGCAGAAAAGAGAAGGCCCGAGCTGCTGAGTGGTTGGAGACCAGCACTGAGCTACCAGGCACGGGAAACAATTTCTTTTTCCACTTCAGAGGTTTTTAATCCAAAGAAAGTGGCAGTTGTCAACATCTTGCTTTTCAATCAGGCAACTGGCTTTGGTCATTCATTCACTCATCCATCGTGTGTGTGTGTGTGTGTGTGTGTGTGTGTGTGTGTGTAATATTTGGAGTCAAGTTCTCAACCCTGGCTTTGGATTAGAACCATCATCTATGGGACTTCTGGAAAATTCTACTGCTCAGATTCAAACCTTGATCAACTAAATTAGAATTCTGAGGTCCTGGCCCAGATATTGGGGGTTTTTCAAAGCCCCCAGATGACTCTAATGTGCAGCCAAAGCTGAGAACTACTGCATTAGACCAGAGCTTCTCGAATTCGATGTGCTCTTGAATCACTAGGGAGTCTTGTTAAGATCCAAATTCTGGTTCCTTAGGGATGGGGTACGGCCCAAGATTCTGTGTTTCTTAGAAGATCTCAGGAGAGTCTGATGCTTTGGGTTCAAGGACACACTTTGAGGGGCACAGGGGCTAGGGGAATTTTCTGTTGGGAGCCAAGCAGGGAGCATCAACAACGCCAACAGAGAATCCACAGCAGCCCTCCTCTAGCTGTGGTCCCTGGAGGGAAACAGACCCTGTGTGAACAAGTGTGGTCACACATCACAGCGCTGTCCCAGGGACCCGGGAGCCCTCTCTGCCTTACCAGCCCCCACGCTCCCAGAAAGGACATCTGCTTCTCTATTACTTTTCCCCCAGACCCTAGGAGCCTGGCACAGGTGAGCCCTCCATGCTTTATTGTTGGATGAGTGAGTGAGGGAGGGCAGGAAGGAAGTTACAAAGTTACAAAATAGCATACAGTGGGGGCGCCTGGGTGGCTCAGTGGGTTAAAGCCTCTGCCTTCGGCTCAGGTCATGATCCCAGGGTCCTGGGATCGAGCCCCGCATCAGGCTCTCCGCTCAGCGGGAAGCCTGCCTCCTCCTCCTCTCTCTCTCTCTGCCTACTTGTGATCTCTGTCTGTCAAATAAATAAATAAAATCTTTAAAAAAAAAATAGCATACAGTGGCTAAGAGGCCATCAGCTCTGCATGTGAACTCACGGAAGTCATTTTACTGCTGGGAATGATGTCCTGGGCACGAAATGGGGTCACACCGCCTGCTCCCAGCATCACTGGGAGGCGTAAGTGACAGCGAGCAGGAATAGTACACAAAAGGGGCTTATATTAGTGAAGACGAAGGTTGGCTGCTGTAACAAAGAGGCCCCAAGATAGAACGACTCACCCACTCTTGACTTCAGCTCAGGTCGTGATCTCAGGGGTGGGAGATGGAACCCTGTTTCAGGCTCTGCATTGGATGTGGAGTCTCCTTCTGCCCCTGCCCCCCAAATAACCAACAAAAAAACAAAATAGATGTTGATTTCTCCTGCAAAGAGGGATCAAGTTGAGTTGGCAGCTCTCACCTGAGACCCAGGATCGTTTCCACCTTCCCGCTCCATCCTCCCGTGGGGCGTTGGTCCAGTCTGTAGGTTCTAAGCTGGGTTGCTGGGTCATGGGGGGTGTCCGAGCAGACAGTGAAGAAGCAAATGCAGGAACTCACGCCAGTATCCCAAGTCCAGGAACGGGATGTAGCACACAGCTCTTCTGTTCACACTTTGGGGGTGGATTCTTAGTTATTTGCCTACACACCTCGCTGCCAGGGAGACTGGAAAGGGTGGTCCCTGGCTGAGCTGATGGGCCATAACTCGAGAGCTCTATAAGAAGGGGATTTGGGTGGACGGATGAGAGTCTGCGGCACACAGAGCTCAATCGCAATACGTAGATAGTAGATAATAGATAATAGATAATATACAAATGTAGAGAAAGACCATGTACTATATATAGAATAGATAGAATCCGTATTGATACAGATGGATATTGATGTGTGATGTTAATATCACTAGGGATCCCCCGGAGTGGCTTCTGGGCGTGGCTACTCCCCCCTTACCCAGCGCTGCTGCCCACCACTCTCCTCCTGCCTCTTGTCGCCTCCCCAGGGTGAGTGCTCGAAGAAGTGCTACTACATTTTCATCGTGGAGACGGTCTGCGTGGCCTGGTTCTCCCTGGAGTTCTGTCTGCGCTTCGTGCAGGCCCGGGACAAGTGCCAGTTCTTCCAGGGGCCCCTGAACATCATCGACATCCTGGCCATCTCCCCGTACTACGTGTCGCTGGCCGTGTCCGGAGAGCCCCGGGAGGACGGCGAGCGGCCCGGCGGGGGCTCGTACCTGGAGAAGGTGGGGCTGGCGCTCCGCGTGCTACGGGCCCTGCGCATCCTCTACGTCATGCGGCTGGCCCGCCACTCGCTGGGGCTGCAGACGCTGGGCCTCACCGTGCGCCGCTGCACGCGCGAGTTCGGCCTCCTTCTCCTCTTCCTCTGCGTGGCCGTGACCCTCTTCTCCCCGCTGGTCTACGTGGCGGAGAACGAGTCCGGCCGGGTCCTGGAGTTCACCAGCATCCCGGCCTCCTACTGGTGGGCCGTCATCTCCATGACGACGGTGGGCTACGGGGACATGGTCCCGCGCAGCGTGCCGGGCCAGATGGTGGCCCTCAGCAGCATCCTGAGTGGGATCCTCATCATGGCCTTCCCGGCCACATCCATCTTCCACACCTTCTCGCACTCCTACCTGGAGCTCAAGAAGGAGCAGGAGCGGCTCTGCGCGCGCCTCCGCCACCTGCAAACGGCCGCCTCCGCCAGCGAACACGAGCTTCTGAGTGACATGGACGACCCGACCCCCGAGGGACCCGCCTTGCCTGCCAAATACGTTTAACTCAAAACCCGTGCGTGGTGAAAAGGGCAGGACCCGCAAACCACCACCCACGGGGCTGGAGAAAACCACGGTGTAGACCACCCGCTGGGATGTTTCTAGGGCCCCAGGGGCACTTCCCAAGCTAGGAGGGGCTCGAGGCCACGGGTGTTTGCTTGTTGGGATTCTTGACCCCAATGGCCACCACGGTTCCTGCTGACCTTACTGAGGCTCCTTGCTTTTTCCTCTCTCTCTGCCCATCACCCAGCACATCCACTCTTTCTATTAGCTCAGCCGTCCTCCACTCTTCTTCCTCCCCTGAGGTCTCCCACACCCCAGGCTGGCGTCCAGACACACCCATAAAACTGTGCCTACAGAACTCCATTCCTCCCCGAGACTCTCTTTCCAGGGCCACCCTACCACCAGGAGCTGGAGGGGTGAGTCACTGCAAACCCTTTTGATCAGATCTCCCCACCCAACCCCATATCATGGGTTCCAACAGAGATCGGCATGTCCTCTTTCCACTCCCCATGGCCAATGGCATTTTCCTAATGCCGTTCCCTCCTCCCTAGCTCTGGAAGCTCTCAGCCAAGAAGGCAGAACTGACCTCTGTGTTAAACCCCACATTGGGAGCCCATGCCCATTCCTCCTAATGGGCCTGGGACCTGGGCAGGATTGCCCCTTGCCAGCACAGGCGGCCCTCCTTGACCAACTGGACTCTTGGTAGGAAACATTCTCCAGTTATCCAGTTCTTAGCCTTGACTGAGGCTAACCCTTGCAGGGCACTGCATCGGCCCTTGAAAGAACTGTTCCTGCGGCTGGCTTCTCCAGCCCTGCCAAGACCTTGGCTTTCCGCTCTCAGCTATGCCACCGCGGATGCAGGAGAGCTTCAATGCCGACATGGGGGCAGCCTTGGGGTCTGCCCCTTGCTGCCTCTACAGACCAGTCCCTTGTCGCCAGAGGGTAATTCCTCCACTGACACTGAAATAGGTTTGTCTAGTATCTGTTGGTTCATGGACAGATTCAGCTCTTTGCAGCCAATGAGGAAGCAGGTGCAGGACCAAGTTGTTCAAGAGAAAGGCAGTGAGACCAGAGCAATGACTCCTGAGATGGAGACCCATGAGGAGGGATGTTTGGGGAGCTGAAGCTGGAAAGGGGGTAGGGATGGGAAGGTGGTGGGCCGTGCGGGCTGAGTGGAGGATCTGGGCATTCTGGTGAATGCTGGAAGACGCGGTGATGTGGCCAGACTACAGATGATGCCTCCCACAGCATACAGGGACAGCAGCATGAGGCAGAGACTGGGCAGCTCAGACAGGCTACAAGGGGATCCCCCCTCGTATTACTAGAAATCCAGTACAGGAGGTGGCCTGGGTCACAGGTGCTGAGGCAGTCAGGGATGGGCAGATCTGATGCGGTTTGTGTGTGAGCATGTCAGCGTTTCATCCCTGGGGACCGCTTGCCCACTCTTCATTCATTCCGCCAGTATTTAGCACAGGCCTGCTAAGTGCCAGGTTCATGCCTCCCTCGGACTGTAATACCAGGCAGCATGCCGGCAGCTCTGGCCCCGGGGAGCAGCCCGCACCAGTGTCTAGCTGCAAGCTCGCCTTACCTTATGGGCAGCCCTCGTTCCCTTTCACTCCCCTGGGACCCTCCCAGCCCAGGGGGGGTACATGTCTCCATCCCCCAGCCCCCAAAATCGGCAGGCTGACCCCAGTCCTTCCCACGCTGACATTTCACCAAGGAAGCTCTTTGCACAGTGGCCTGGTGGTCACATGCAAGGGAAGCCCTTACCCCTTATAAAATTCCCACCCTGTGCCACCTGCCCTGGGAAGTGAATAGCAGGTGAGTCACTCTGAGCTTCCGTTGCTCGGGACCTAGGTGCTCACTCAGGCCCAGATTTTCACTCTCTGTGTCCCCCTGGCTCCTTTCCTTCTGTTAAGTGTGGGGCTTTGGCTAGATCGGTCATTTTCTGGCTGGGGCTCCAGCAAGACCTTCGGGGCTGCTCTGTGGGTAGAGGGCTCTGCATCGTAAGGTAAAACCTTTGCAAGCAATGCTTTTGAAAAGAATGTGAGAATTTCTAGACACTCTCCCACCTCCAGTCAGGGTCCCTTGGACAGAAGTGGAGATCTCACCCCAGAACCAAGGAACAAGCCTCGACAGCCAGTGGAAGACCCCACACCTGGCCCTCCCTCTTCTGATTGGAGGCCTTTTTCCCGTGCTGCGTGCCTGGTGCAATAATTCCTTGTTGCAGCTCTGCCCATCCTGTGATGGCTTCCACCCAAGCATCTGCTTTCTCCTCTGGTTCACATCCCAGCCATCTGAACAAAAGCGGGCCAGGACTGAAAGAAGCCTAGGTGAGCCCAGAGCCAACGTTATGAGAAAATTGTGTCTCAATACACATCCAGTGGAAATCCTACCAAATAGAAGAGAAAAACTGGAATTGATTGCTTGAGTATGGGGCTTAATTAAACACTCAATTTTTTTTTCTTCTGGATAATAGCGGCAGGGACTGGTCTAAGTAGAATTTGTCTAGCTGGCTTTCCAAACTTCATGAAGATTGGATAGGATAGTGACGACAAGCGAGTTGCCAGGCAGTCTCTTCATACCCATTGGCTGAAAGGAGTCTTGCCAGTCCCTGGAAGGCTTGTTTTCTCTGAGGTCCACGGGCAGGACTGCATCCAAAAGTCGAAATTTTCCAGCCGAAGGCAAAGAGTAAAGGACCCTTTGCTTCAAGCAATTTCATGTTGTGTCATGGAGGTGGCTCCCACAGACAACTTTATTATTGTTGTTGTTATTATTAAAGTGCAGTTGACACACAATGTTACATTAGTTTCAGGTGTAAAACATAGTGATTGGACAAGTCTATACATTACGCTGTGCTCACCACAGTTGTGGCTAACATCTGGATAACTTTTAAGTGTTGGTTCACCATCTCTCTAAGCAGAGTTGAGCCCAAGAAGTGACTTGGGGATGGATGGTGCAAATGGGGGCTCCACCCGCTGACTCTAGTCTGATGGGTTACGGGATTTGAGAACTGGGTAACTGGACAGCTCATCAGAATACCAACTAAGCCGAGAGTTTCCATGAGGAGATCCGTGAACCTGGAGGTTATGTGCGTCTCAAAGTGCCCAGCTTCGAAAAGGGGTCCAGCAATTTTTATCAGATCCTTAAAGGAATCCGTGGCCCCCATAAGAGAATAATAATTTATGTAATAATCACCTCTCATATTTTAAGATGGGGGGACCAAGACTCAGAGAGGGAAAGCCACCTGCCCAAGGTCACACCGCCAGTTTACCTAGTTAGATCCAAGCATCCTGATTTCCCTAGAACACTCAGCTTTTAGGCTCATCTGAAACAGTTCTCAAAGAAAATATTCAAGACGACAGGATAACAAGAATATTACTTTGCCCTGATACCCTGAACACAGTAAGCAGGTTTGTTTTGGGGTATCTCTGGCACCAGCTGTCACCATTCCTTTGTCATATGACAGTGGACAAGGCGACTGATTTCACGGGCGCTTCCTTTTCTCACTGATCCCATGGAGAGGCTGGACCCGATGGCCATTAAAGTCCCTCTGGGCTTGGACAGTATGTGATTCTGGGAAGCAGAGTTCACTGCTACAGTCTATGCCATGGAGGGGCAGGTAAGAAACCAGAAGAGAGGTCAAAAAAAAAAAAAAACAACCCAAAAATAAAAAACCGTGGTCCCTGACTATCCACAGAGCTGCTCCCTTAGCAAACATCACTAAGTCATTCCAGTTTGAATAGAAATTCACTGAGATCTCTGTCTACCAGCTGCCAGCCCCCTTCCTAGCCACCCATCTGGGCTCCCCGCCCCCATCGGAGGTCCGCAGGATCCAGGCTAAGTAAGCGGCTGGGTCTGCCTCTCACCCAGGGGCACTGAACCCACCCACTCTTCCTCATATTGCTATGCTAACAATGGGCCCCACTTACAGCATAACTCCTAGTCACCAGGCAACTGCTTTTTGTTTTTTGTTTTTTTAACATTTTATTTGGGAAACGTCAAACAAAAAAAAAGTTGGGAGAACAAAAACAGCGCATACATACGATTACCTGAATACACTTTTTTTTTTTAACACATTTTGCCGTTTGCTTTATCACTTACTGTTTTTTATTATTATTATTATTATATATAAATAGTAGATTTTTATGATCATTTGAGAGTAAGTTGACTACATCATGGTCCTTTGGAGCTCTAGAATGGAGGGGCGCCCCAGTGGCTCGGTCAGTAAAGCATCCTACCCTTGGTTCCGGCTCAGGTCGTGACATCGGAGTTGGGATTCCAGGGCCCTGGGACGGTGTTCAGCAGGGAGTCTGCTCCAGGATTCTCTCCCTCTGCCCTTCCCACTGCTCATGCTCAATCTCTCTCTCAAATAAATCTTAAAGAAAAAAATCAGTAACTTTAGAATGGAGCCCTAGAAGGTATGTCAGAAAAACATCAGCCCAAGAATTCTTAGCAGCGAGTTTCCAAGAGGACCTGGGAGCCTACGGAGAGGATAGGTAACAAAGCATGTACAGTACGTGTGTTTCAGAGTGTCAGCTGTCAGCTGATTTCTTTAGATTCTCAACGGAATCCGTGATTCACCTAAAAAATGAAAGGAGAGGAAGCTCTAAGGTAAATTACCTCCTTCGTTTTAAGGGGGAGTGCCAAGGAGACCCTGGAATACTTCAGGGGGGATTGGGGGGCTCTCTCTCCTAAGAACAAGGATCTTCTCTTACAAAACCACACAGTACAGTCATCAACATCACCACATTTAACACTGATGCAATATTTTAGTCTAATCTACTGTCTGTTCCAGTCTTGTCAGTTGACCTAATAATATCCTTTATGGCTTTCCACTGTCAGGAGAGGCTGGAGAAGGCATTTCTGCAGCTGACCTCCTGAGTCTCCCATAGTCTGGACTGTTTCCACAGCCTTCTGTGAGGTTTCTGACCCCGAAATTTTGGACAAATTGAACCCTTCCTTTTTAATAGAAAGGCCCGTGGATTCTTTGAGCCAAAGAA